CATCAACAGACCGTGTGTTGATTTAATGCTGATTATGGTGACGGAAGAAAATCACGGATTTAACTGGAAGTATCAATAAATGAGCCATATTATTGAGTCCATTTTAGGTAATCCACATCCCAAAATCATCCCTTAATCTCTTCTCCCTTCTCTCCTCCTTGGAGGGTCACTGCCTCACAACAAGTAAACAAAATCCAAGACAGAAACAGCATTTTGGACATGAAATCCCCAAAACATGCTTCAGCTTTTCAGTAAGAAAACACCCTTGAAGTTGCAGAAGTTTGTGGGGAACAAACCTAAAAGATGGAGCGACACAGACACGTATTTGACTCGTCATAGAAGGAGGACAGGTGTTAACAGTAAGCGTCTATATGTCTCAGTCAGCCATGACAGTGTTCATCATACCGTGACGTGTCAAAATGTCTGCATCCTACCAGCGTGTTCATCAGGCTTCACCTCATCATACGCATCTATAGAAGCTTAAATAAATGAGTGAAACCCATTCCAACATAAACACTGTAAATAAAAAACACACTTTAAGATGTGAAGCAGCCGGGCATCGTGTCAGCCATGAACTTCAAACAAAAAAAGAAAATATTGGTTAAATATTAAACATGGCTACATCAGAATTATATTTAAAAAGACAACTACTTCCAGAGTTAGATAACAGATGATATGAACACGATAAGATGCAAGGAGCTAAGTTTACATCGTCAATATTTACAATGCATTCAAGAAACTGGCATTTTATGCGACAATTGAAAGGTTCTTTACCAATTCAAACAATCATACACTCTTTAATTGGGATAGTGGTCTCTAAGTGCTTTTTCATTTACACTGTACACAGTAACTGTCATGCTCAGGTTAGTTAGTGAGGAGTTGGAATAGTTTTTTTAAAATCAAATAGCATGAATGCCTACAGTTAAGATAACGTCTTGTTCTTTGGTAAAGGAGGGTGAAGGGGATGTTTGTACGGGACATTTCGGTAACGAGGTTACACTTCGCACATCAACAGAACGACTGAGAGAAGGCCTTGTACACAAGTATAAAAATACAACCATAATAAAAAGTGATAGTATCAAAGTGTCCACAGTACAATACATACGTACATACAACAGATTATTGCACCAAATTGAACTATTTTATATTTCCCCATGAGAGCTACACTACTCCTTCACTCTCAGGAGTTTGAAACGTTTGTATATGAATAATACCGAAAACCTGAATGTTCATCAGGAAAAGTTTGAAGATTTGAAATGGTGTGAACTTGAATACAATACATATTTGACCCCAAGGGATCTACTGTATTGACGGTGCACTAAGCATGTTGTGAAATGACAAATATTAAAACCAACTACATCATCTTTTTAAAGTCTGTCTCAAGCCTGTTTGCACTAAATTATTTCACAATAGAATTTCACAAAAACACCAGCTTCCCCAACAGTCAGATTAAAAGGGAAATACTACGTTAATGTTCCTTAAACAACAAAATAAATAGTAAAAAAACGGAAACATCAATACATACTATTTAAAATCTTATACTTCAGTGTGATCATCGTAAACAAATGAGACTTGTAGTCTGTTTATCATAATGTTCAACACATGTGGTTATTAATCGTTCTTTTCTCCTCATATCTATTAAAGGCAGTGGATGTAATGGAAGTGATTCTCTGTACGCCTCTGTCCTTCTGATGGAACTCCTACAGCTTTGGCTGTTTGCTCTGGAGAAACAGCGCCACCTGTCTGCAGATTTTGCACCAACACGCGGTGTAAAAACCGCCATTGATGGTCTCATTTGTTCATGATTCAGCATCACAGTGCAAGTCAATATAATATTTGTAAGTGTTTGTTTGACGTCTGAGCAAGAATACAAATAAGATATTTGAGGCTTTAGATTGGGGGTAAATGTCTGTCACACAAATATCACATTAAATAAAACCCGCTCGGATTTCTGTTGACTTAATCTTTCATCATATATTTTCTGATTAAATCAAACTTATAATAATTCAAGACTGTATCTTCTTCTTCAGCTGAGACAAAATTATACATTCAGGTTTGAGGGGAAATTTGAGAACAAAATGAGGTTTGGTAGAAAAACAAAGTGAGTTGTAAAATTAAAATGTTGGTATCTGTAGCAGAAGTCATAAATGACACCCAGCCAGGAATCAGTGTAAAGAGAAACCGTCTGTACCAGTAAGCTGCAGCGAGACCACCAGTGAGAGGGAACCGTCTAGTGGACGAGAAGAACCAAGTTTTACTGTAATGACGAGCACAGCCTGCAAACACCATTCATCCAAACCGGCAGACAGCGGTCCACATCGGTGAATTATTAGCAGGGTGAGAAAAGTAAGGGTTGCCGAGTTGCTGTCAATCTTTACGCATTCACTTTTAGTAAACAAACAAAAACAAACACTACTTCGGACTTGAGTAACAGTGTTATTTATCACAACAATCTGTACGTTGATGTCGCTTTGATGACATTTTGCATGCAAATAATACGTTGACTTTTGGTGAGGTGACTTTGAGACAGTGAACAGTGAGACATCGGTAGCAGGAGTCCGGTTTTTTTAGTGTTCTGGAGCCGAGCCGAGTGGAGAAAGTTGGATTCCAGCTTTTGGGGTGCTGTTGGCCGAAAAGGATTATCTGTACATCTATAAATGAAGTGCCACTGAACAAGGCACTTGACCCCCAACTGTTTGAATCCAGACTGACAAGCCTCCCATTTTACAAATGTGACGCATATAAAGGTGCTACACGTAACAATTTGCTTTTCAAATTAAAAGAAGAACAGTGCTGCTACTTGTCCCTCTCTTTTTGCATCTCATGTATTTGTTTAGAAAGCAAAAAACAAGAGTGAAAATCCAGCTAATATGGGATTCAAACTGTAGTGTGACGAACGTACAAAGTTAAATTCGTCCTGTGCTGGAAAGCAGATTTCACACAGTTGTGGCAATCGATCTTCTCATAACGGTCTCCTTTGTTTACATTTTGAAATGGATGATTCGATCCTTCAGTGGTGTTAAAATGCTACATAAAGCACACTAAAAAGAGAGAGTTAAAAGCCCCTTCCTCAACGAACATATGATATTGTTGTTTTCGGACAGGGCGATGTGTAGTGTTACCCTCCACAGGACCACTCCAGCAGGACCACTGAAAACCTAACGGTATTACATTTGGTGGACACCAACACGAATAATAGAAAATCTCCTCCTCTCATCCTCACAGCGGACAGGGAACGATTACAACAACCCCCC